TTTAGATTAGAATTTGAGTTAGAATTGTTTTTGGACATAATCGATATTAGGTCTTTTGTGAGGTATTGGATCAATCATTAATGAAAGTAAATTTTTTAATTCTTCTCTGATTGGTAATTATTGAATTTAAAATTGTACTTATTGTTAATTTCTGCAATAATTAAAAATTGATTATTATACTTCCCTTATAGATAAACCTTAATATAGAATAAAATGAATACCATTAAATAATGGTGATTCTTTGAATATTTCAAAAAATAGACATCCTAAAGACCAAATGTCAACAGAAGCTGTATAATCATCTGATCCATTGATTATCTCTGGAGCTTAATACTGTGGGGATCCTACCATTTTTGTCTATCTTAAATTTTGTTCTCTTTGTTTTACTAAACCAAAATCTATTAATTTGAAAATGGAACCTACTTATATAAAGTTTTCAGGTTTAATATCTCTATGAATAATTTGGTATTTATGAAGAAATGCAATTGATTAAGCAATCTAAGATCTAATATCAAATTATTACTTATAAACATATTTATTCTTTTTATAATTATGTTAGTTGACTTTTTTTTAAAACAGAATTCATATCTTTTCCTCCAAGTTCCATAATCAATACTTATTACTATTAATATTCAAACCTTTCATAAACTCTAATCAAATTGCTTTTTTGAAATGCACTTTATTCTGTATTTTTCTAGTAATCAATCAAAAAATCAATAAATTTGAGTTCACCTTCTTTCATCTTTTATTACATTTTCAAAGCAACATCTGTAGAGTAAATTGTTTCATTTACTGATCTTGCTTAATAAACAGCTCCTTCTCCTCCATCTCCTAGAAGTTTACTTAAAACAAAATAACGTTTCGCAAACTAATCTGTCGGAGCTTCCAAAATTGAATTAATTTGCTATTGATATTTAAGTTAATCTTAAACGAATTTAATAACTTAATTTAAATTAATGCTTTAATTTGATTCATCAATAGATTGAAGCAATGGTTAAATTAATTATGGAAATTGAATCTGGTTGACTTTATTTATGATTTTGCTTTTCTAGTTTTGATAATTACTTATATCTTTCCAAATTTGAGATTTCTAATTAACCATGAGGGTTCTACCTTCAAATAACCAATTTCCTTAAAGAATTTAATAAAAAAGACAGCCTAAACGAAATTTATCAACTGATTTTGCATCATAATCATGATGTTGCTATTCAGGTTAATATTTTGAGATTGATTGAGATTTAGCAAGTTGCCAATGGTTATTAATTTTCCAATATTAATCAAATTGAATATCTGTGTGACAATAATCCTTTTAATGAAGTTCTTATATGGATTATGAAATCTATAAAAAATTACTAATATAAATACATCTAATATTATTGAAAGTTTTTCTTGTAAACTTAAATTTTCATTCTCCCAAAGATATGATTATAATTCAATTGATTTTGATTCCATAACTAATTAGGTTTTATCATCAATACTATGATTCTTTTAAATAATAGTATGTGATGGAGGGTCTATTTTATTATTATGCTACCCCCGATTTATAACTTCTTAGTTTATAATGTCTATCTCTTTAACCGCTATTATTTGCTTTTCTTAATAAAAATATATTTGATGAAAATTATCTTTTTATTGTAAGTCTTTTACAATATTTTGTTTAGTAGTAACTTGAATTTAGATATTTGTAATTTCATCAACAATTTCTTTTATAATTGGTCTATTTTCTACTATTTTATCAAGCATTTTTATCATTAGATTTTTCCATTCAATAGGGATTTCTATATTACTGAAATTTAACTTTTCTAAATATTTTTCTCTATTCTCAAGATATTCTTTTTGATTTTTTAATGTCTCCTTTAAATTTCTTCCTAAAATATATTATGAATATTAACCTTAAAAAAATTCCTTATTTTAGAATACTTCATAAAATATGCAACCAAGAGACCATATATCAATCTCCTGAGAGTATTTTTAATCTTGAATTTCTGGTGCTTGATATTAAAGAGTGCCAACAACTGTATTCAGTCTTTACTAGGTTACAACGTCATATTTTTTAATTGATCCAAAGTCAGTTAATTTAAACTAATTTTAAAACTTAACAAAATTTTCTGATTTGATATCTCTATGAAGATAATTATGGTTGTGAAGAAATTGTATTGATTTTGAAATCTAATTATTAAAATCAGTCATACTTGAAGACATATATCCATTTGCTTGTCATATGATAAAGTATTCTCATCCAAAAATTATTTTAAGGAACATTATCCTAATTCCATAACCACATAAGTTTATTTATTATACTTTATAAGTTCAAATATTTTAACAAGAAATGACATTGATTCAACTTCATATTATTTTTGCCATTCAAGTATCCAATCAATAAATTGTGTTTCTTCTGGCTTTATATCTTTATATAATTTAATCGCAACATTGGTTTAATAAAATGTTTAATTTTCTACTTTTGCTTCAAATACTACCCCTTCAGTCCCAAATCCTATTTGTTTTTAGAGAATAAAACGCCTGTTTTGAAATTCCTTTACTGGGGATTCAATAGCTTGATTAACATACATAGGTTTAGATATTAAATTATTATAGAATTATGAAAATTATGAATTTATTCACTTTATTGAAAAATCATTTTCATTTTTTTTTCATATAATTTATAAATTGTATCTGTTAAGCTCATTTTGAACTCGACTTGAACTTAAACAAATCCATTATTTTAATGAAAGAAAATTAGAATTCAAAAAGTCCTTTGCAATTCTATATATAATTATGTATCCATTTATTTACGAATTGTGGTATATCAATGTTGATTCCATGAAAACTATCATTTGGTACTAGATTTGAATTATTAAAGCAAAGTAAATCTGGAAACATAGGTCCTATAATTTGAAAAGTAATTATTATGCTTGATTATGTCGTTCTTTTCAATCATTAGCTATGAGGATTGATGTTTAACTTGCTTATATACTAAAAGTAATTTAATCGAATTAATTCTTTAAAAATGATTTCTAGATTGGTTTAATCTCTTTCCAAGTAGTTATGGGTAAGAATCTTATTCAGGAGGGCATTTAACAAGAAATTTCACCTAAAAATATCATCTTTATTAGCTCTAAACAAGTATAATACTCATGAAGGATGAACTTGATTAGCTACATGTTATGTATAATTTTGTAAAGAATATGATATTAGAATTTAATATAATAAAATATCAATAGATTATATATTTATTTTTGATAAATAAAGCTGATGATTATACTCATATTAATTTAAGTAGTCAACTCATAAGTTTGTAATTGTGGTTAACTTAAATCTCAGTCAGATTGTAAGTTAAATACGATTTGCTAATGGAATAACAATAGTTGCAAGGAAAAATAAAATTAAACAATTGGTACATACTGTAAGTAGTTTGATCAATCAAAATGTTCAACAATAACAGGATGTATGTTTTACGATAGTTAATGTTAATAATTAACAGGATGCACATCATTTGAATACAATACGGATGAATTATGCAAAAGTGTTTCATCATCTTGTATTAGTAACGGAGAGGTTTGTATAGATATGGGAGAATGCATATCTTATGTTCAAAAGAGCACATGCAAATTAGATTTGAGAAGTTAACTATGTTTTTGGGATGGTTAAGCATGCTCACTAGCTGATGCTTGTTCAAAATTACCTTATACTACGGATGAAGCTTGTAGGAAAGCGAAATCAACCTGCACTGTAAACTTTGCAGAGAAAGCTTGTATGGATGGAGGTAATTGTAAGGATATGCAAAAACAATCACAATGCTTTTGGAATAAATCATAAACAATCAAGTGCAAGTGGATATCAGGGAAATGTTAAGATTATACATGTATGAATGCTCCTACTACAATGACAACAGATGCAGAATGTGAATCATACTTATCAGGATGTACAACTCAAGCAGGAGGAGGTTGTACATTTAGAACCACATGTGTTAAAGCATCTAATCAAAATGCATGTGTAAGTGATGCAAATGGAGCAAAGTGCACTTGGATGGATACATATTGTAGTGATAGATATTGCTCTTAGGGATCAAAGTCATTTATAACTAATCCTTAATGCGATTCTTTTTTGAAAGGATGTATAGCTAAACCTTAAGGAGGATGTGTGTAAAATAAAGAATGCGATGCAGCCTTATCTTAAGAAACATGTTAATATGATATTCATGGTAATCAATGTGTTTGGAATAAATCTATATGTTAATTGAAAATATGCAAGAATGCTCCAATTATTGAAAACATTGATCATAATTATTGTGAATAATTTTTGAGCTCTTGTACTATGGTAGCTGGTTAATGTGCCACCAAAACTTGTGAAAATGCAAGCCTTTCTATCATAAATTGCAGACAATTTTTAAGTGGATGTGTTTCTAAACTGAATGGAGGATGTCAACGATTAACAACATGTGCTGAAATCATAAATTAGGATGATTGTATAAAGGATTCCAAAAATCAATTTTGTTTATGGTTTAATGACAAATGTATTGATCAATAATGCAGTGTTATTTAAAAATCAGCCGATCAAGAATGCAGCTCTATTCTATAAAATTGTATAAATGATAAGAGTGGTAATTGTTTAGATTATTAATGTTCAAATATTTGGAATCAAGACTAATGCACTATTGATTTTTACCAATCAAATTGTACATGGAAGCCTGTCTGTTATCTAAAAACTTGTTATAATGCTTCAAAAACATTTAATACTCATCAGTTATGTAATAATTTTTTGTCAAGTTGCACAGTAAATAAGGATAAAAAGGGATGTATGGAAATTACTAATAATTGTGAGGCCTATAAAATATAGGAATCCTGTATTAAGAAATTAGATAACTCTTAATGTGAATGGTATAACAATTAATGTTTATCGAAATCTTGCGAGACTGCTGATAAAATCAAATATGTGAGTATGAAATTATGTAATGAGTATTTATCTGGATGTGTTGTGTCACCAAGTCTTAAAGGTTGCATGACATTGCCTGAAAAATGCCAACCAAGATTAATTGCTGATGTCTGTCTCTTTGATAATTCTTGTTATTGGTATTAAGATGAATGCATTGAAAAATCTAAGACCTGCGATAACACTCCTAAGCCATTTTGCAATTCTGGATGTGTTTGGGCAAATGAAAAATGTGTGTAAAATCTATGTAATGTAATACCTAATCAATCTCATCAAATGTGCAATGCTATAAATAATACTTGCACAGTCAATGAAAAAAGATCTGGCTGCATAACTTTACTTCAAAAATGTTCAGATTATAAAACAAATTATTAATGTTACTTAAGTAAAACATAAAAATGTTTTTGGAATGGTGCTGAATGTTTAGAATTTTAATGTATAGATATTCCTGATGATGCAACTCATTTTGACACGTTTGAAAAATGCCAATAGGAATTTACTACTTGTACAGTTATTCCTGTTTTGAATTAAACTGGATGTTTGAATAGGTTATCAAAATGTGAATTATATACATTAAATTAATGCACATATACACTTGAAGGTAAAGAATGTATTTGGTTGGATGGTTTATGTTAATAATTAGATAAAGTTAACTGCTCAAGTATTGTAGACTATTCTAATTGCGATACTACCTTGTTTCAATGCAAATAGTCAGGAGAAATTTGTGTGAATAAACTATGTAGTGAGATTTAAGTTGAAGATTTTTCATTAACTTTTTCCAAATGCCAAAGCTATAGTTAAACTTGTTCAATTCATGCTGGTTTGAATAGTTGCATTGATATATAAAATGATTGTAATCAATATTTAATAGAAGAACATTGTATTCAGAGTAAAACAAGTCTGTGTCATTATTTCAATAATAAATGTGTTAATCGTAATTCAATATATGGGTGTCCTACTGTTAAATTAGAAACTTATACGGACATTAAATGCAAATAGTTTAAGCAATTTTGTAAACTGAATTCTACATCCAATGGATGTGCAGATACTGGATGCATACTCTATTATGGATTGACATCCCTGGCTGATTGTGAAGCTGTTGATAATACATGCACTGTTAATGCAGCCAGAACTGGATGTACAACAAAAGTCTCATTGTGCACATCTTTAGATAAAGATAATTGTATAAAAGCTTAAGAAGGGTTTTGTGCTTGGGTTTCATCAACTTGTTAATTATTTAAAGATAATGATTGTTCGTAAATAACATTGTTCTAATATTCTCATTAACTTTGTAATTAAGTTAGTATTAAATGTTCAGCAAATGCTTAAGAGACTTAATGTATTACAATGACTGAGAATTGTAGTTTATATTAATAATCTAATTGCTTTTAGTCAAAAAATTCCTTCTGTTTTTATAATGGAACCACCTGTGCTAATATAAACACTATTACAAGTTGTTCAGACATTAAAGTTACTTCTAAAGCAATATGTGATAGATATGATGGATCCTAAAATCCTCTAGCTATCTGTACATTTGTCTCTGGAAATTCCAATTGTATTCCTAGAACATGCCAAAATTATCCTGATAATAAATTCTCACATTAAAATTGTTCGACTTGGTTGGCTACTTGCACCTAAAATATTGCAAAAACAAGTTGCATTACTATGGAAAAAACTTGTGATTTGTACGTAGAAGGTACTTGTTATAAAAGTTAAAATTCATATTGTTAGTTTAATAGTACTTGTTTAAATGTAACAAGTACTTGTAGTCAAATAGCGGTTGACGAAAGATGCACTTAGAATTCTCTTTGCATGATAAATAATACATCAAAATGTGTTGATAAAACATGTGAAAATTATTAGAATAGTGCTGGTTATACTCATAATGTTTGTTCTTCATTTTTAACAACATGCACAGTTTTGAAGGATTTAACTTAGTGTATGACTTTACTTGAAGATTGCACGAAAAATTTAATTTAAAATTAATGTACAAAATCACTTTAAGGAGATTGTATTTGGCTTTAAAATAAATGCGTTGCTGCAACTTGTGACACGGTTACTGATTGTGAATCTTATAATTGTATAGTTAAAAAATAGGCAGGTTGTACAAACTTATTAGAAAATTGCTCATTATATGCAACACAAATATAATGTAAGAAATCACTTAATAAGATCTGTTATTGGAATGGTAGTAAATGTACAGATTTGACTTGCGAGAACTTAAAAGGAGTGGGTTTTAATAGTGTTAGTGATTGTAATTCTATTTTAGACAGTTGCACTATAGATGGATCTAAGATACAATAATGTATGACAAAAAAGGAATGTTCATTATATTAATATGAGATTGAATGTAGTAAGGATGTATTAAATAAAGAATGTTATTGGAAGAATAATGCTTGTAATTTAAAATCATGTAATGTATTAGTGTTAAGTTAATACAGTCATGTTAATTGTATGGATTAAATAATTAATAATAAATAAAATATATGTACTATTAATGATAATGGAACTGGTTGCATTGAATTAAAGTAGTGTTCTTCATATAAATCAGAAAAGAATTGCATAATAGGTATAGCAGGAGAATTGTGTGGATGGAAAAACGAGATTTGCAATGTTAAATCGTGTGATACAGCACCAATAAATGTAAGTACCCATGAAGATTGCTATAAGTATTTTAATGGATGTACAATTAATGCAACTAATGATGGATGTATAAAAATACCTGATTAATGTTCTTAAATGAATGAATCTTAATGTAAAACTGACAATTGCACATGGCAAGATTCAAAATGTTAGGATAAGACTTGTTCAAATGCTCCACAAAATTTAATATCTGAATCATAATGTAATGCATACCTGAAAAATTGCGGATTTGTTAATAATTAGAAATGTTTCTAGTTTTAATGTGAGGATGTAGAATTTAAAAGCCATCAAGAATGTTATGACAATTATAAATGTACTAGTAATGGATTTAGATGCACTGCAATACAAGAATAATGTTATTATTACACTACTCCAATTAGTTGTGTAATTGATGTAACAAAAAGTCCATGTACATGGGTTGAAAAATCACTTGAATGTCAAATCAGAAGATGTGATAATGCTCCTTAAAGCTTGATTACTAATGACTCATGTAATTTTTACTATCCTAATTGCACAACAAAAGCAGGAGGAGGATGCTAGGAATTACAAGAATTATGTACATCATA